TCACTCTTCGCTTCTGCAGACTAAACAGACCCAACTCCCTCAGCCTCTCCTCATAAGTCATATGCTCCAGCCCCCTAATCATTTTGGTTGCCCTCTGCTGGACTCTCTCCACATCCTTTTTGTAGTGGGGGGCCCGGAATTGGACACAATACTCCAGATGTGGCCTCACCAAAGCCGAATAAAGGGGAATAATGACATCTCTGGATCTGCTGGCAATGCTCCTCTTAATGCAACCTAATATGCCATTAGCCTTCTTGGTTACAAGGGCACACTGTTGACTCATATCCAGCTTCTCATCCACTGTAACCCCCAGGTCCTTTTCTGCAGAACTATTACTTAACCAGTTGGTCCCCAGCTTGTAACTATGCTTGGGATTCTTCCGTCCAAAGTGCAGGACTCTACACTTGTCCTTGTTGAACCTCATCAGATTTCTTGTGGCCCAATCCTCCAATTTGTCTAAGTCATTCTAGACCCTATCTCTGCCCTTAAGCGTATCTACCTTTCCCCCCAGCTTAGTGTGTAAGCCTTATCTCAAGAATGTAAAACATTCATGTTTTAGAAAGAAACCTGCTTGGGAAAAGGAATGTAGGGTTGAATTATCAAAGCAATAAATCTAGGGGTAAACTGGGATTTTTCACCCTCTCAAACGAAACTCCTAAGTAAATCTACACAACAAGTATCCTTGTTTAAATGAATTTTATAATTGCACTAAAAACTTTATTCAGAAAAGTTTGTAGGAAATATGTGTACTTGGAAATCTTGTAAGCCCTTTGTTTATTTCTTAAACAAAATGTCAGACAACTTTGTGAAATGCATGCTTGCAAATGTGTTGGTTAAATGCAAAGCTCCTAATATCATGACTTTATAAATGGTAAAATGTTTTATGCACTGGCACAGGATCTAGTGACTTTGCCAAACTAATAAATAATGTAAGAAGACATTTAAGTTTAGAATAGTTATATCAGTGGGGAAATAATTATTTAATTAATTACTGACAGTGGTCAAACTTTTCCCTCGCCCAACTCAGGAAGACACAAAGAATGATCTCTCCAAAAATTGTTATAAGGAATTAATAATCTCATTAACTATTTAAGCGAAAGGCTCTCTGCAAATTATTTATTTTAAAAAGTCTGTTTTGAGGGCTAAACTGTTGTGTATATACAGAATAGGGGTGCTTGGATATTTAAAAAACAGAATTCCATTTCCTAACAAACTCTACTAAAATTGAAGGAATGTCTCAGAATACAAAGAAAAAGTTATCTTTAACTTTAGAAGTTGTCTGATGCTCTCCCTCCATAAGAAGAACAAAGACAATTACATGAGTGCTACATATTCAGGAACTGTGGATATCACCTAAACCAATCCAGAGAGCATGAAACCAGTGAAAGAAAGACAACAAGAACAAACCTGGAAGAAGTGTGTTTCCTACAATTTCCTGGAAATAGGAAGGAGAAGAGTACCGAAAACTCTGAAGTGAACATCCTCATACACACACCCTCTCTGTTACTCTGTTTAAACAGCAAGCACTCCACAACCTATCCTGGTGATCTCTGCAAGCAAGCTACCAGAGATACATAAGAAAAACAAGACTCAAGAAGAGAGCAAGCCATGGGAAACCTCCCCAAGAGTTGAACATGGATTGGTGAGAGAAAGTTAACTAAAGATACTAAGGGATTAGATTTAAAAGCTCTTGTAAAGGTTCACTTGGAATATTGAAGTGCAGTTGTAACTTAAAATATGAATAGTTTCTCCTGTTATTCATAGATGGTTAGACCATGTGTTCCTGGAAAAGTGATAAGGGCTGAATATTGTTAAACTGAGAAATAGTGGGACTGAGTTGGATTTTAAATTCTTGATGTTGGTTAACTGGCTTAATTTAAGATGACTCTTTAAATGGTTTCTTCTTAGTAACTCCCTTTAATTTCATAGTATTTAATTAAGATTGCTTTCTTTCTCATGTATAATCTAGGTGGTTATTTATGGTTATTAATTTATTTATAGCCAGATATTCAGCTGTGTGAATTGGCATAGCTCTGCTGACTTCATCTGAGAGTCTGGCCAGATACTTTGAAGCAATGGCAGATGACAAAAAGCTGAATATAGCAAAATGATGGGGAGAAGGGGCACGCATTGGTGAATCTTAAAAGTCCGTCTCATGGCTTGAAAGATAAGAAAAAGGAGTTTGGCAGGGTGTAGCCTTTATTTCTGGTACTCTGTTGGAGATATTAGACATAGTGGGATGCATAGATAAGAGTTTGTATGTCTGTCATGTTTGTATAGATCCTGCCTTCATCTCCTTTTGTACAAAATATAATCCTTTCCCCATCCAAAGCCTGAATCTGAACACTTCATTTTAAAATTTTATTTTGCTGCTTCTTCTCAGTGTTATTTGAGCTCAGTAAAAGAAATACACTGTGGAGAACTTTAATGTAAGTTAAACATCTATCCCTATAGAAGAGCTAATATACCATTATCTCTATATTGAGAGTTTATACATGTCTTGGCTCATGTACATTTGTCCACATATCAGTCACGCCTGCTGCCAGTCCACACAGCAGAGATGCACGTCATACCTTATGTAGCTGTGTCCACAATGACACTATAGATACTTGTTAGCCAAGCCTGTGTCCATAGGTGTTGATCCCTAAGCCCTTACTTTCCTTGCCACATGGAGCTGTGTTAGTGCTAAAACTTGTCTGTCCTCCCCATCGCCTGTGTAGAAGTGCTTTCAGATTGCCATATTGTAAATCAGTTCTGACTGTGAAACCTGCTCAAATTCTGTCTGTTCCAGCCAGGAACAAACCATGGAGCTCATTGATCAATTACTGCTGCTTGCAAGCAAATGGTTGATGCAGCGGAGTAAACATAAGGCAAGACATTGGATGGCATTTCATGAACAGTTTCTGGGATGAAGAATACAGAAGGACTTTGAGGGGAGTCTATTGACACCAGACTGCATAGACCTATTGAATGCTCCAGTTGGAACTTATTTTCCATGTGTGCGGAGTAGCGGTACTGGTACAGGATAACTAACATAGCATGGTGGGACCACATTGTCCTGAAGACATGGGATGCTCCAGAACTTCTGTGTAAGGAAACGGACATTTTTAATTCTGTGCAAGGCGCTTGGCCCAAACCTCCTGCACCAGAGCACTCAATTGAGGAATGCCATACCAGTGCAGAAGCAGGATGGAGTTGCCCGGCGTGTTAAAGGCTAACCAGTTTGGTTTTGGGAAGTCAGCTGCAGGGATTGTGGTAACAGAGATTTACTGTGACATCCACACATGTGATTGGCATTACAAATGTGCCTTAAGTAATAGTTGGCTTTCAGAGAATGGGGTTCTCCAACTGCATGGGGGCCAATGATGACATATATGTAAGCAAATATATAAACTGCAGTGTCTTACACCATCATTCTCCATGACTTGGTGGACCACATAGTCAGGTTAAAAAAAAACCCCAAACCAACGTTGGTAGCAAGGTACATGACATGAGGGTTTCCAAGAGAACTAGGCACTACCTGTTGGAAGAAGTTGAGACCTTAGTTCTTCCTAAAAATATTACTGCCAATGGACGGTTGGTGCCTACCATTATTTTGAGGGACCTGATCCTAACATGTCTCATAACACTATATCCAGAAAACCATTCTTCTTCTAGGTCCAGACAGCACAGGACCTAGAAGAAGAAGGTTCAGTTACCTGCCCAGAAGTTGCAGAATAGTTATGTAGTGTGCCTTTGGCAGGATAAAGGTGAAATAATACATTTTACTGGCCTCTTTGGAGGCTCTTGTGTCAGTGTGATAGTCCTTATTCATGTAAGCATTTCCTTAAACTCAATAGGACTATATGAGTAGGTGAAAGACAATCACATGAATGAAGGTTTGCAGGATTGGGCCCATACTCTGCAGAGCCCAGTGTGCAAGACATTCCTACACGTTTTGTTACAAATAGGGGAGTCTACCCACCCACAGAGCTATAGTTCTGAAATGCAGCTTTTTGTCTCAAGTGTCCTATTTTTAGTCAGAATTTGTTATGTGGAATATCTTATCTAAAAAATGCTCTTTATCTACTCACATTATGCATGCTGTTTTTACTCCTGCTTACAAATGAACAGACCAGCATATTCTTTGATGTGGTGCATTAAATTTACATGTGATCTTAATGAGGACATATTTTATTGAGATAAATGAAACTATATGCTTATTCCTACCAACTTTTCGTAGTTCTCTCAGAATAGCTTTTATATAATTTTGCCAGTAGATGGCACTAAATGTACCACAGATTAATGAAGAGCCCAGTGTTTATTCCTGCCAGAGTAATTTTAACTGCACACGCACAACTTGTGCTTTTTGCCATGTTGGCACAAAGACACTACTAGATGGAACTAGTTTAGTTTCTATATATACTAAGCAACAAATATCAGGATAACTAATATTGTGTCATTTTTGTTTGTAATGTGTGCACCTGTCCTTAGACACTAGACTGAGAGTACCACCTAACTTTGAATAGGCCATCCTGATGGTTCATACAGATTGTAAATTTCTTTCACTATTGACCTCAGCTTGATTTAAGATGTCAACCTATGTGAAAAGCTCAAGTGTCTACATCGAAGCCCCTGATCCAATCCACACATCCCTTGGCCCTCCTAAGATGAATATTTGAAAGATGTGGCAATGATAGAGACCTGACCATACATCAGAGATTTGAACTGGTTTCCAGCTTTCTCTGTGCATATAATGAATAGAGATGGGGAAGTCCGATATATATAAAAATCCTCAAGGTTAATTCAATTTCCCTGTTAGATCAGCTTTCTGTCCTTGGCAGCCCTGCTAGAGAGACTTTTTTGGCCAGGCTTTCTGCTGCTTACTGCCTTCTATCATGTCTTAAGTGCAAACAATGTAATGCATGACATGTTTGCCATGTTCCCCAGCTAAACTGATACAGATTCTGCATCAGTGATGAAGCTGAGAAACTTCACCATCTAAAACAGGAACTTCTATTGCTTTAGCTAAAGGAGTATCTGTCTCCAGTACTGCCTGGACATCAGGCCTTTGTGAGACAGCTACGGAGAATGGGACAAATTCACACAAGCCTCTAATTTATATATATTCTTCTCTCACTCTTCCCCTGTTAAACCAAGCTCACCCTTGACTGTCTGAGTATCAAAGGAGAATCCAATCCAAGAGTGGTTTTCCAAACAGTCACACACTTACAAGCAACAAGTACCTGAATGGTGGATTTGAACTCCTATGAACCTCATGCATTCAAGAACAACCACTACTAAATGGAGGGAACAGACCTGCACTGATTTGCACTTATGAGAACCAATGCTGTATCCATGAATGGTTTGGAATGTCAGACTAAGGCCTGGTCTACACTGGGAGTTTTGTGCCCTCCCCAAACTTAACCGCATTAGAGCAATTTTGTAAACAGTGAGTTCACACCACCAAACCTGTTCTGTTGACTATAAGGGCTGCTAAAGTTGATTTTGGTACTCCTGCTTTTCAAAAGGAGTAATGGTAAATTCAACATTGCTTGGTAATAGCCAGCTTTAGGGTAGCAGAGATTCAGTGTTTTGAAAGCTGAAGTTCTTGGCCTCTGAGAGATGTCCCACAGTGTCACACTCTGGCCAGGACTTTCAACTCTGCTGCTCTCTGGGCGCACAGGAAAAGCCCTGGGAAAATTTGAATTTAATTTCTAATGTGGCCAGCATGGTGAGCAGACCTCTGAGTAAGCAGGCAGTACACCTCAGCAGCACACTTGAGCATGAATGCCCCAGGTTGTAAACAAGCACCAGCATGGAACGTGCAGGAGATCCTGGACCTCACTGCTGTGTAGGGAGAGGAGTCAGTTCAGGTAGAGCTACAAAACAGCAAAAGAAACACTGATATCTATGCCACTGATATCTAAGACCACACAGGGCATGGTTGAGAGAGGATACACCAGGGATGCCCAGCAGTGCCACGTGAAAATAAAAGAGCTCAGGCAGGCGTACCAGAAGACAAAGGAGGCATATGCATGGTCTGGTCATCACTGCAAACATGCCACTTCTATGAGCAGCTGCCTGGGATTCTAGGGGGGGACCAGACTAATTTCCCAAGCCAGTCTGTAGATTCCTCCCAAGACACTCAGGCAGCCGTGGGCAGCAGCATGGAGGACAGTGTGGATGAGGAAGAAGAGGAGAATACATCACTGTCAAAGTTGACAGTAGCTGCCCTGCTGGGAAGGCACCACATCAAACTCTTGCGCACAGTAGGGATGCGCACCTTTGACTTTACAAATTGGGATGCTAGAAAACTGACCTTAATAAATTCGACCTAATCTGTCAGTATAGACAAGGTCTTAGTCCCTCTTATGGCTGCCCTATACAGGATATAAAAGCATCTCTAACTAAAGGAGACATGTGGTTCAGGTGCTAGAGACCTGTGTTGTTGGAATAGACAGTTCTGACTTTTGTCTGGGATGTTGCAAATTCATGGCCATGGTCATGCATGCTTCATGTGACCATCACTTAAAAAGGAACAAAGACAACCCTACTGATATTTTACTCAAAGTGGTAATCAAAACCAACCCAGCCCTCCCATTTATATGCAATGTTCCTTCTGGTCCTTTAATTATTTTGCAGGAGAAGTAAATTTGAAAAAAAAAATGCAAATAGAAAATTTAAATAACTTTAAAAGAAACAAAGAGCTTGTGTTTAAGCTGCACGTGTCTCTAACAGCAAGTATCATTCTTGCCTTTTTGTCTTAATTGCAGGCTCTGTTTCTACAGCAGAAAGATGGGTCTAAGTTGCAGAGAGAAAGTGGCAAAAGCCAAGAGCCCTTAAGAGCACAGACAGGGACCAGACATGAAGCCAAGCCACGGTACAGTGCAAGCAGAAGGCTCCAGTTATAAAGTGCCTTGGAATTTAGGTTTTACTGGAGTGTATTAGTAGACACAGAAGATGCTGGGAGCTGCATCCCTTCAGAAATTTGGAGAGGTTGTGGACTGAACCCGGGAAGGCTAAGGGCACCCTGAGTAGTTGTGGGAAGGACCCTGGGTTTCTGGGAATGGGGAGAGGTTATGTGAATCCACTGGGTGAGTGCTCAGCCCTTGGCAGAAAGGCAGCAGGTATGCTCAGCCCTGGGCAGAAGTACTAAGCACCTAGGGAGAGGGAGCACATTGAGACCCGGAAAGAAACTATGCATGGAAGCTGTGCTGTGGAGTGAGGGGGTGGTCTTGCATTGCTCATTAACACCTTCTTCTGGCCAATCAAGACATGAAAGAAGGCCACAAATGCAAAGCAACAGTAGGCTTATGAGCAGCTAATAAAGCTTTTCGGCTTGACAAGTAATTATAAACTGATGTAAACACAGAGAACCCAGACCATGCTGAAGAAGAGAAAAATGAGTACCCACTAGTACGGAGACAGGCAATAATTTGGCCAATCTAGAAAAGTCATAAATTATAGGGACACAACTTTGTTGGCCAGTAAAGTTCTCCCTTTAACACCATGGCCTCTGTTTCTTTAAGGCTAGAAAGTGCACGTGTCCCCAAAAGGGAAGGCAGGCATTCTTTTCTCACTGCTTTCCAGAAAGAGAAGACAAAAGAAGCAAAGACCTTGCAGGAAGAACGGCAAAACCAAAAGTCAAATTTACAAGTGCAGGTATGGTGACTAACCCTTTACATAGTAAATATGCTCCTTGGTTCATGAGAGATCAGCAGCAGTGAATTTTGTCATGACAGATGTAGCCAGTTATTTAGAAAATGTAGCAATAAAAAAAGGGAATGACCGTACACTAACTGGCCCCAGGACCCCCAAAAGTCAGAGCTGTAATTATAGGTATAGGTTGTACCTCCAAAATCCAGCACTCTATGGTCCAGCAACAACCTTCGTCCAACAGGACCATGGATGCTCCTGGATCAGAGAGCCCAGGAGCCCAAGGGCAGGAGGGCCAGCCAGGCTGGGCATCAGGGTCAGCAGCCCAGCTGGGGACAGCACAGGACTCGGGCCAGAGTCCTGCAGTAGCCCCCAGGAGTGCAGAGCTGAGGCTGGAGCCCTGTGGCAGTGCGGAGTTGGAGTCCCCATGCAACCCCCAGGAGCACAGGGCCAGAGCCCTGCAGCTTCCCCACGCTGTGCAGTGTCAGGGTTGAGGCTCTACGGGGCCGGGGCCAGAGCCCCAGCCCTGCACCTGCCCCCAGCTGCGTGGGCCCAGAGCCCCGTAGCAGGAGCTGGGGTCTATGCCACCCAGGGACCCAGCAGTGGGTGGGCAAGTAGCCTAGCCAGGTTGGGGGAGAGGGCTAGGCAGGGTTGCTTACTGGGGCAGCCTGCCAGTGGTGGGCAATGGGCTTGGGGGCCAGTGATAGGAGACCTCCTCTGGTCCTGCAAATTCTTTTGTTTGAGGCCAGTAAGGTTCTCAAGATGCTGGACCAGGGACGTCCAATTTGTACTCATATGATAAATACTCTTTCTTCAGTATTTATTTGTTATGAGGAGAGAAGGAAAGCACAGAACGTAAATCTAGGGTGTGGTGCACAGAACTTCCATTATTGTTAATGGGAGGTTTTTTGCACTAACTGCCTCATTGCCCTTTTTGTCAGTGGAGCTATCAGTGTCACAACTCAAATGCCACAGTAACTCTGCTCTTGAACCTGCTTTGGGAAATGTGCATTTGTGCCCTTAATTATCATGTGACTTGGATAATGGACTACCCTTGAGTAGGAAATGATTTGAGTTAGGTAAGAGTGCAAAGTGCTAATGCTTTATTGTTTTAATAAATTCCTTGATGGGGTCTAAGCTAATGCCTGGTGGAAAAAGGATGGCAGTGTTTGATTATATTCTTTCTGGGAGGGTATAAGCATCCCCACAGAGCCTGCTCCCCTTCCACCAGTCTAGTACTTCCATCCTTCCGGTGTTCAGTTGCATCCATCATTCTTCAAGCTGACTTTGAGTTGCAGAGCTAGACAAGTCAGAAAGATCATTACTGAGAGAAATAAGAGACTTTCTTCCACCAAGAAATGAATATCCTGATGTTTTCAAAAAGCCTCACATATTCATAAAGTATAGTTAAACTGATCACAGGTTCTTCAGATGAATCTATTTTGATGCTGCAAAGCAGCTGAGCACAGTAGTTTGTCCAGTGCATAGCGCCGTGAGATCCTGACTAGGGCTTGTAGGAGCTATAGTAATATAAATACTAATTGTTGAAGCTAACAGCTAACCATATCCTGGTAACTGTACTCATTGGTAAAGGTTGCTCAGCTAAAGCAAACTTTAGCTCACCAAGCAAATAACTTCAAAGAATCTCTGAAGGAGCAGACTCTACAGTCCAGCAAAGAAAAAGAAAAGCTTTTACAGGATCTTCAGGACACTGTAAAACAAAGCCAGAATTGTAAAGCTCAGCTGGAGGCATCACATCAGAGAACCCTACACATGCTAGAAAAAAGCAAAAATCAAGAACTCAAGGTAGTTTTGCACTGACATTGGTGCTGTTTATTTTCATTTCCTTACTCGGTTCTGACTTAAAGCATTTTAGGGTAACTATAAGCTGAGAGATGGCAATCTAAATTCAGGTATTTCCAGTTATCCTAAAGATAGGTCATTGTTATTTCAAGTAACAGGCTAGCCTGCAGTTCTGATAGCTTGTGGACCTGCTTTTGTGCTTTATTTCATTGTGTCAGTGCTTGAATACAGATTACACTGTGAAGGACGTGTTTTTATAGGCATTACCTGAGCCTGGCCTCAAAAATAAGAGGAAACTCCTAAGAAATATATATATATATTTAAGTATAATATTACTAGGACTCTCACTTTTTCTTGTTCATCCATAATTAATTTCTACATATAATATTTTATTTAAAATACAATAAACTGATTATTATAACGTGTGCAGATTAAAGAATGTGTAAAAATCAACAATAGAAGTGTAAAAACTACTTCTTTTAAATGCTTATGTAGATAGGCCTCATTGGCAACATAAGATGTAAGATTTACACTGTGTATTGTCCTAAAGAAAGGTAAATTTAAAAATATCCTCTGATTGTGACATTGAGTTCATATCCATATTGCACATGAGCTTTAAATTAACTCTTTAGTTACTTAGCTTAGACCATTTCTTTACAAATTCCTAATCAAATTCTGCCTTAGGTTCTTGGAGGAAACCACAGTCAGTCAGGTGGCATAGATCTATTTTAGGGCAGCATTTGGCCCTCAGAATGTCCCAATCACATAAGGCCATGGCCTGCAAACTAGACTCAGTGAAGACTTCACTCACAATGATAGTTGGTTTTTATCTCCAAATATGGTGACAGGAAGGACTGTAGGATTTTGCCAATAATATTGAGACCTTCCTGGAGGCTGAAGAAAAATTACCTTTCTAATGACCAATATTACAAACTTCAACATTTGTGTTTCATAGCTGATACAAACATTGAGAACTTCTCGAATTCTGCTATAAGAGGCCTGGAATACTTCTTATGTTCCTTTATTTTATTTTATTTTTGAATCTTCTGCTAATCTTGTGTTGATGAAGCTATTTGGGATGATGAAAATTAAATATGCCGTACATATGAGGAGTCTGATTCAGCCTTGCATTAAAGCTGGAGTAACAAAGTGGTAAATTAAGACCTACATATATTTGTCTTGGCTGCAGGAGGTAGAGGAACATTTGAAGAAGCAATATGATGACAACATCAAAATCCAGCATCAGTTTCACAGATTGGAAGTACAGGCTTTGGAAGAGAAAGCAAAAAAAGAGGGTGAAATTGAATGGATACAAAAACAACAAGCTGCATTGATAGGTATAGCAAGCCATGTGTCACACAGAGCTTCTTACTTTATTAAGATTTGAGAGATACTCTGGTCATTCCATGTATTCTTTGCCCCATGTCCTACAAATCCAACTCTTTGTCAGCCTGCAGCAGACAAAGTTTTAGCCACACATGCTTATTGTTAGCTTAGGGTCTAGTGGTCAGTGGCCTATTTCACAAAGCTGCCTACGCAGACACAGTAAATCAATACATGATAGCTGGAATTTTGTGGGATTTTGTTTATTTCTTTATATCTGCCATGGGTAAAATGTAACTTACTGAATTCCGTGATGCTGCTAATGGCAGCTTTGTTCTTGCTACTGTGATCTGCAAATATCTCAGCATAAAATGCTCAGATCTAGATAGAGCATTGCATGCTGGGACCTGTGGTCTCTACGCAACACCTTCAGTTTGCACCACTTTTGGCAAATTAGGCATATCCCTAAGGCTCTTGGCAAATTGCCAGCATAGCCCTTGCTTGGATGAAGTTTGGACACTCCTGATTAATTTTTAGTCTTTTCTTTTGCAATTGCTTCAGTCTTGATTGCCTCTATCCAGTGTGATTTACCTGGTATTGAGTCATAAGTGAAGTCCTGTGGGATTTTTTTCTCCTGGCAAGAAAGTGAAGGGAAAAGCAAGGCGGTATGATGCAAATGTTATAATTTTTAGTGTTAAAAAAGCAATACTTGGTGGGGTGCACACCGTTTTAATTACCATTAAGCTGTTTGTGTGAAATAATAAGAAATAATAAGAAAAAAATATATTTAATAGTATAACATGATTTAGACTCATTTAACAATAACTAACTAGTAGCCTAACGCCATTAAAAATGGATACTCCACTACACTGGAAATACAGATAAAAACTGACCCTTGTGCTGAGGGCTAACCACAGGCTGGCACATCTCTACGTCCTAAACTATAGCTAGGACAAAGTGGTACATAGGTGTCCTACTGGACCTCTATATAGTGGTGAATCGCACCCACAGGTGAAAGGAAAGTTGCAGAAAGAGTGAAGTCTGTAGGCCCTGGTCTACACTAGGGAGTTATTTCAAAATACACTACAGCTGGAAAAATAAGATTAAATGTAAGTTTAAGCTTTATCTAATTTGAGGTTAAATGATTAAAATTTCATTTACTTTCCAAGTTATACTCTCAGGGTACCCTAAAAACTAACCACAGCTATGATATAGTCACTGTAATTAAATACCTCTCATAGTTTTAGGTCGCTGTTCATAGATTTACATTGTGGTTGATTTTGTTTTAATATAATTTACACAAAAAATATATTTTAAGGTATCTTTCTGATATAAAGTAAAACAATAACAATAAATTCTGTATAAATACTTTTCATATTTTAGGGGACTATTCATACATTCACATAGTGGTTGACTTTGTTTTAATGTTATGTACTTAGAAATCTCTCTTACTGAATTGTTCCAATATAAAGTAAAACAAAGAATAAGCCAATTTCTACTCATTGATGTGAAACCACTAATTTTTAAGAGTTTTTCATTGACTTGAGTTGGCTTGCCTATGGACTATCTGTAGTGCAGCCCAGAACTCCTGTAGTGTTCAGCAATCCAGCATGTTCCCTCCTGCCACGATCACCTCCCAGTTTTCCTTCTATGCCAGATCCTAGGGCTGGTATAGAGTTGTTTACATCAGTCCAATATTGCACAGAGGAATTCTCCATTAGCCCCTTGTGGCTTTTTTATAGCTGTCTATGCACCACCAGTGGTGCATAGATATCTATAAAAGGGAATTGGGCAAGTACACCCAGAAGGCCAGAAGAGACCACTGTGATCGGTCAGAGCTATACCATAAGTTATAGAATCTCATCCACTGATTCCTGCATTATCTTGTTGTGGAAGCACAATAACCTGTAGTTGTTATTTAGCAGGTGAATTATGCCACCAGAGCAGACAGGGTCCACTCTACAGTGTGTGTGGGGTACTTCCTGCTTTTTCCAGGTTTATTCAATAGACTGAATGGTGAAGCAATTAAGACTTTGTCTACACAACGCAGCTTTTAGTGACCTGGCCATGTCAATACGGCCATTGCTAAAAGTAGGGCAGTATAAACACCATTATCAGCACTTTTTCTGACAAAATACTTCCAACCTCTACGAGTAGGGTTCACATTGTGGACAGGAGAGCATACCTGCTGACAACGACAAAACTTGTCTTTCTGGGGAGGTGTAGGGGTGGAGTTTAAGCACCTGTGAATGACAAAAGTTTTGTTGTTCTATTGGCAGTGTAGGCAAAGCTTGAGTGTCATGACAAAACTTAACCCTTTAATTTCTTTACCTCCCATAGCAAAAGTGTATGTGTGTATTGCTCTATGTCTGACCTCTTACCCCCTTAACTTCCTGATAAGTCTTTTATTGTTGTTGCTAGAAACATTGAGGATGGAGCTATCTGAGCATCACACATCCTGTATAAGTCACACAAAACAAATGGAAGAACTCCAGCTGGAACTGAAGAGTGTGAGAGCACTAAAGAAACAAGAGGCAATCTTCCAGTTCTTACTTTATCATCATATGGTGCTCCTGATCAGATGGTGAAAACTCCGGCTTAGGTTTTAAATTACACTATTCCCATGTGGAAACAAACAGGGTCTCCTTCCTTTGACTCAGAGTCAAAAGGAATTGGGTGCAGTTTATCATCATTTTCCTTTGGTGGGCAAATTTGTGTTCCATGTAGTATTTTGAGAGTGAGATCCACAACAGAAAAAAACATACAGCCAATTGATCACTAATTTCAACATTTATTGTATATGTCACTGATAGATGGGATCCTACTGCATTCACATTTGACACTATAAATCTACAAGCCCTTTTGGGGGGGTTAATTGAATACATACACCAAGGCTACGTCTAGACTACATGGCTCCGTTGACGGAGCCATGTAATCTAGACATAGCCCAATAGTCCATGAAAAGTGCAGCATTCTGACTAGATGTCTGTATGGCTTTCCCCTCATATTCCATGGGAAACTTGTAAAGTGGGTCTGTGCCCATTCCAATACCTGGTATTGTATAGCATTTCATGTGTTTAAAAGTACTTGCTCCTTGTTCTCCCTTACATATAGTTTGCCCAAACTTTTAAAACATTTTGTGCCTGACAATAGCTACCTAATATAACTGATTTTTAGAGATGCAGCAAACCCAAAAGTACCATTGATTTTAATAGATGCTGCAGGTGACTGATGTTTGTTGGTAGGTGTCTAACTTTCAGCATCTATGTTTGAAAACTTTGGCCTGTGTGTGCATGTGTGAGTAATGTTATTGGTGGATGTAAATATATATGTATGTATTACTTAAGATGAATACATATATACTTTAGAATCCAGTCACTTGATTATATTTATTATAGCCAGTTAATTTGTCATTATGTTAAGTTACTTTATAGACTCAGAACAGATCTACACTTACTGGGAGATCAATCCCTCTGAGGTCGTTTTAGTGGGTCTAGTAAAGACCTGCTAAATTGACTGCTGATTACTTTTTTACTCTCTTGTTGACTCCAGTACTCCACCAGAACAAGAAGTGTAAGGAAATCGACGGGAGAGTTTCTCTCATCAACCCCTCTCTCCCAGTGGAGACCCCCATGACAACTCAACCTAAAGCATGTTGACTCCAGCTATTCTAGTCATGCAGCTGGAGTTGGTTTCCTTAGGTTGACATTGCCCCATAGTGTAGACTTGTCCTCATTCATTCCATATAGCTTCATGGCATCTTAAAAAAGATCCCAACCCTTGAAGTTTGTTCACTGAAAGATTGGTTTGAATGTTTTCTGTTGTTTTGACCAATATCCTTAAACTTTCATTGATGGTAGTTGTAGTGGTGTTTTATTTCTGGCAGTTTGCTAGGAACAGAGAACTCAGTCCTGAATGGCAAGATTTTAAAGTGACATGATAACATCTGTACTGCATAAACTGTGCTGTACATCATAAACTTTGTGTTTCAGTTGTTTTATTCAAAGTTCAGCTCTCGATCATGATAACCAATTGCAGTCCTGGGAAAGCCTCTGGCTATTTAACCAGCAGATAATAATAGCTAAATTTTCCCTTTTCCACTCCCCCACCCTTAGGAAGGAAGCAAGCAAAACCAAATTAAATTTCTTACTGAGGAACTGGAGAAATGTCAGAATGAGATTGCTGGGCTCAAGAAGGAGAATTTGCTTCTAAGGGACACAACGGAACTGCTGAATTCAGGGGCGGCCTTACAGAAGCAAGAGCCTCCACTGTCCCCTTGCCTTCAGGACAATGAGAAGCAGCACAGGTCTGCCTTATATTAGTACCTTCACAGGTATCTCATAGAGAGTTAACAAATTGCTGACATCAATATTCCAAATGCTATGAGAGATCTGAATTTATTTCCTAAAGAGAATTATATTTTAAACTTGGAGCTCCTCCACTGGTCTAGAAAGCTTGTCCATAATTAATCAAGTTGTGTGATTGTTGGGCCCTACCAATGGACAGGTCCTTTAAAAATCTGTCTAGGATAATCTAGAAAGAGAACTCAGGGAACATTCTGAGAAATTCATTACCTTCAGGAGTGCCTGAATATCTCTGTTGGCTTTTACCACTCAGTAACTAATTAATGAATGGGAAATGGAGTCTCTTCTTACTTCATTTTGGAAGTTACTTGAAAGTGACCTTAAAGCCAAGTATTCAAAAGAACTGGAGACTTTGAAACAAGGTCAACAGAAAGAAATGCAAACCACAGAGTCTAATGTCAGCAGCGCTTCCAGTTACCTTGGAGGTATTTAGAACCTGTGGTCATGAAAGAAATAATTATTGACATTCTAAGAACATGAAAGGAAAAGGAACAATGACCTGAGACTAAAAAAGGAGAAATGCAGGATAGATACTAAGGGCAAAAATTAAGGTGTAACAATTCTCAATGGCAAAAGCACCTGAGTATTAGCATAAGGGAAGTAGATCACAGTAAGTATCCAAGATTAAGGTAGTTGAGACATTTGTAGACATCGTGGTAAGGGGTAGTCTTGCAGAATATAGGGAGTGAGAGTGGATGACCCAAATGATCATTGCTGGTCATAACCAGTTATTTAACTCCTACCCCTTGCTAATTGATATAATGGATCAAAGAACTGCTAGTATGGCATGAGATGTGATCATAGGTATTCTGGGTTTGCTTGCAGATCATACATTGGAGGAGCTGGGATCTGAAGCCCTTGTTTGGGAAGGGCAGTAATAGGACTTTAAAATGTAAGGTGTTGCATGTGTGTGTCAGTTTTTGGCCTGACAACTTTGATACTCTTCTTTTCAGGACATTGACTCTCTTCTCTCTTTTTCTGCAAGTTGTTTCACAGTTGGAAGCTCCGATTGATGACTGTTGTGGCCTTTAGTCATGTCTCACATTAGTTGGGGGTAGAAGTGCACACTAGGCCCACCAAAACGAGACATTCTCTCTCAAGATAATCTCATCTGAAGAAGTGGGCTTTGCCCATGAAAGCTCATGACACTATATATGTTTTTGTTAGTCTCTAAGGGTATGTCTATGCTACAGCACTAATTGGAACTAACTTAATTCGAATTAGTTAATTCAAACTAAGCTAATTCGAATTAGCACATCTAGACCCAAAAACTAATTTGAATTAGCGTTTTGCTAATTTGAACTAGCGCGTCCACACTGGTTGGACGCTGGGTCGCATTTAAGGGCAGCTGAAACTGGTTCCGGTAGGGCATCAGGTCAGTAGTTGCTTTGTGTGGCTGCTGTCTGAGGCTTGTGCTTAAAGGGACCCCCCCCGGACAGCCAGTTCTCAGCTTTTCCGCTTGCTTGCCTACCTTGCCGAGGGACAGCAAAGCGTTTTTCTCTCTTCTTGCCTGTGTCGATGGTTCCCATTGGGGACGCCGCCACAGTTGGCAACATGGAGCCAGAGCTCGCCCTGGGCATGCTGTTCCAGTTTCTGGACTTGCTGCTGCAAGCCTGCCAGGAATGGCTGGAGGCTGCCTTGCACCATCTGGTGCATGTCAGCCCCCTGCCTCTCCCCCTGGCCTCCCCGGGGGTTGTGGAGGAGCGGCAGCAGCGCCCAGACGCCAGCGTGCCCTGCCACATCTGGCATCTGGACACCAGCAGCGACTGGTGGGACCACATCGTCCTGGAGCGCTGAGGAGACCAACAGTGGACCCAGAACTTCAGGATGAAGAAGGACACCTTCCTGGAGCTCTGCAAGTGGCTCACCTCTGCTCTGTGGTGATGGGACACTCGCATAAGTCCCGCCATCATCTTCCAGAAGCATGTGGCCATCGCCCTGTGGAAGCTCTCCACACTGGACAGCTACCGATCCGTCAGGAACCAGTTCGGTGTGGGGAAATCCACCATTGGAGCAGTGCTCATGCAGGTACGGCACCCACCAGCCACTGGGCTGGGGGGGAAAGAGGCTGCAAGGAGGGGATGGGCCGCCCCAGGGAAAATGGGGGGGGAGGAGGTGAAAGTGTCCCGCACGGAAGGGTTCGGTCTGTCTTGGCCGTACTACACGCCACCTTCGGGTGTTGTTTCCGGGAGTGGGGCACGGGGCAGTGCCAGGGAACGAACACTCCCAGCCACCCGGGCGCCTCAGTGATTTGCGCTTTGCTGTGTCTCTTTGCAGGTGGTCAAGGCCATCAACCAGGTGCTGCTCCGCAGGGTGGTCCGCCTCGCCGCCCCGGATGCGGTCATCCAGAGGTTCGGCGCCCTCAGCTTCCCCAACTGCGGGGGAGGGGGCCATCGATGGGACGCACATCCCCATCCATGCCCTGGAACACCAGGCCTCCCAGTACATCAACTGCAAGGGGTACTTCTCTGTCCTCCTGCAGGCCATGTGAGACCACCGGGGCCAGTTCATGGACATTAATGTGGGCTGGTCCGGCAAGGCACACGATGCCAGGGTGTTCCGGAACTCCTCCGTGTGCCAGAGGCTGCAGGCCAGGACCTTCTTCCCTGACCGCCACATCAGGGTCAGGGACATGGACATGCCCATCTGCCTGGTGGGGGATGCGGCTTACCCCCTAGAGCCCTGGCTCATGAAGACGTACACGGGGCACCTCAACCCCTCCCAGCAGGCCTTCAATGCCAGGCTCACCAGGGCCCGCATTGTGGTCAAGGGGGCCTTCAGATGCCTGAAAGCACGCTTTAGGTGCCTCCTCACCTGCCTCGACCTCGCCGAGCACAATATCCCTTCCATGGTGGCAGCATGTTGTGTGCTGCACAGTTTATGTGAGTGGAAGGGGGGAGGCTTTCCTGCCAGCCTGGATGGCTGAGGCTGAGCGCATGGCTGACCAGTACGTGCAGCCCCACACCACTGACATCCAGGAGGCCCAGCGGGGGGCCGTCCAGATCCGGGAAGCCCTGCTGGAGAGCTTCCAGGTGGAGGAGGACTGAACTCTCCCTGCATGCCCCACTGGGGCCTTCTTCCACCCTCCTCTCCTTCCCCTTTCCCCTCCCTAACCCCCCTTCCTACTGTAAAATAAACACAACTGTTTTGCCAACAAAAATCTCTCTTTATTGTACATAACTGGGGTGGGGGAGGGAGAAACCTGGGAGGAGGGAGCTGAAAGGGGGTGGAAGGGGAGGAAGGGAAGGGAAAGGTCAGGGTTGGGGGTCCTGCTTGCTCTCCCATCTCGCAGCACTGTGGATGTGGGGCAGGAGGGACGGGGGGTGCGGAGGAAGCAGGAAGGGGAGCAGGGGTGGAGGGAGGAGCGAGAGCTGGGGCGGCCGCAGGGGCTGGAGCAGGAGGAGGCAGGAACCTGTCCACCAGGGTCTGGAGGTGACCTCTGAGAGCACGTCTCTGCTCCTCCAGCACCTCCAACCTCTGTTGCCACAACCACAGGTCCTCCCAGACCCAGTGGTCCTGGATGCGGAGCTGGTGCTCCAATAGCCGCAGGGGCCACCGCTGGTAGTCCTCCAGGTTCTTGGTGCACCTGCTGGCCTGGGTGTGGGTGGCTGTTGCAGGCAGGGTGGTGCGCCCTGCAGTCCCAGGTGCTGCGGCTGTGGTGAAAGAGCAGCGGTCAGTTCTCCCTGGGGACAAGGTGGGTGAAACCCAGCCCCCCTCTGCAACGCCAGGGCCCCTGCATGACACCCAGCTGATGCTCCATGGTGGGCAAGGCCCAGGCACATGGTCCCTGGGCTCCCTCTCCCCCAACCCCCCCGTACACATAAGGGGAGCATGATGGTACTCACATGTGGAGCCCTCCTCTGCCTCGGACGACACAGCTGATGGGCTCTGTGGGATGCCTCGGGGGTCCTGGGTATTGGCCATGCTCCCTGCAGGCTCCTGGCTCTCAGCGTCATCCTCCTCCTCCGTGTCAGGGACGGGTCCCTCTGCCCTGGGGTCAATCACCACCTGGGGGTCATGAATTGCATGAGCCCCCAGGATGTGGTCCAGGGCCTCAAAGTGAGGGCATGCCTCCGGGTCGGACCCTGGCTGGGAGGCCCTGGGGTAGGCCTGCTGCAGTTCCTTTATTTTGTGGCGGACCTGCTCCCGGGTCCACATGTGGCCTCTGGTGGCCAGGCTGGCAGCCATGCGACTGTAGACAGCCGTGTTCCTGTGGCTAGTGTAGAGATCGTGGATATTGGAGGCCTCCCCTCAAACCTCGATGAAGTCCACGATCTCCGCACTAGACCAGGCGGGCACCCACCTCTTGCGGCCCCGGGCAGGCTTCTGTGAGCTGCCAGCCTGGTCCCGGGAAGAGCCGGAGGGCTGGGTGGCAGCAGGTGGCTGGCTCATCTTGTGCCAGGTGCAGGCCATACTGGGTGCTGGCAGGCAGGTCTGCTGGCTGGGTGCTGGCAGGCTTGCAACTGGCACTAGCACCGTAGCCAGACCGTGGCCCTTTAAGGGCTCCAGGGCTGGGAGGGGGGCAGAAGAGTTTCCCTGGTTTGGCCCAGAGTGGCCACCAGGGCAAGCTGGGGAGGGCTAGCCTCCCACTAGTTCGAATTAAGTGGCTACACAGCCCTTAATTCGAACTACTTAATTCGAACTAGGCGTTAGTCCTCGTAGAATGAGGTTTACCTAGTTCGAATTAAGCGCTCCGTTAGTTCTATTTAAATTTGAACTAGCGGTTTGCATGTATAGCCGCTATTAAAGTTAATTCGAACTAATGGCTGGTAGTTCGAATTAACTTTGTAGTGTAGACATACCCTAAGGTGCCACAGGACTACTCATTGTTTTTCAAGCTACAGACTAACATGGCTATCCCTCTGAGACACAAAGAAAAGAGAGAGATGTACAAATCATCATCAAGTAAACCCTCTCCTGTCACCCATTTCCAGCCTCTGACAAACAAAGGCTAGGAATACCATTCCTACCCATTCTGGCTAATAACTACTGAGGGACCTAACCTCCATGAATTTTTCTAGTTCTCTTTTGAACCCTGTCAAAGTCCTGGTCTTCACAACATCATTGTGTTGTCTTCTGATCTCTCATAGATGTTATTATACAAACTCAGCCATTATTTTCAAAACATCAGTATAGTTCACACAAACACAGCTCAGCAAGTTAATTATTATCTTACTTAGGATAAATTATGCTAATTTATTTTTATGATATTACTAAGACCTGATTTGGCTAAGATTAATATCTTAAGAGCCTGAGGTTTGTAAGCCTTGTGTTATAAGATTAATTCATATATTTCTTCTCGATATCCTAAGTATTCCTGATAAGGCTGAACTACACATGATCCCATCAGTGGGCACTGCTCATGAGCTGTGCTGAGTTAACCTTCTTCTTAGCCTAAAATAATCAGAACTCTTAATAGTATTTATCCATCAGCCGCTAATTAATGAATGTTAAACACTTGAGTGACTTTAACCCCATTTTGACAGGCTCCTGGAAGACCTCAAAGTCAAGCACAAAAGAGAACTGGACATCTTGAAACAAGAGCACCATAAAGAAATCCAGAATATGGTATCGGATTTCAGTAGTGCTCAGGCCCAGCTCCAAGCAAAGATTGTCTCCGTAGAAACCGAGTAAGTGATTCCAATAAGACACAGCTGCGTTAGAGATGTTTCACTATGTCAGTGCTAAGTATTAATTATTGTTAATTATTGTTTTCATTACAAATGGGTGGAATATTTTAAGTGTTGGAATAACAGTGTATTGTATAACTATTTCCCAGGCGCTCAAACAAGGCACAAGTGTACTCTAACAAAACAGAGATATTTCTGACAGTGCAAATCTCTACAAACATACTTTCAGTACCAGTACCATGCACTGTTGCACTTATGGCCCTTGTTAATTTTACTAACTCTAAAATAATCTATGCTGTGTGATGATCCCATAGGCCCTGATTCTGCAAAGAATTTACACATATACTTAACTGAAAATCAAGAGACCTACATATATCAGTAAAATTAAGCATGTGCGTAAGTGTTTTTAGGATAGGGACCAAAACGGGAATGACAGAGGATAAAACACATAGTTACTGAAGCAGCTGGTGGCTAGTGGTTAGATTCAGGGGTTGAGGAATTAGGAGACCTGGATGCCAGTGCCCCCTGTAAGCTGAGCACTTGTGCAGCTGCCCAGAAGAGATTCAAATTCCACCCAGCTAATTAGCAGAGCATCTCCAGCCAGGCAGCATGTGTTTCTGCTGATGGTGTACATCCACATGTGTAAGTGCACAGAGCAAAATTTATTCTGCACACAGATGGAAAAAAAATTAGAGGGAACCTTACTAAATTCTGTCCCTAGCTGTGAGGCCAGACTTTTAAGATCTGTGCCTTGGTTTCCCCATTTCACAAATATGGGACATATCCCTTGGTAATGTCCTTTGACATCTTTAAAGAAAAAGTGCTCTGTAACAGCAAATTGGTTATTAAATCATTATTATTATTTTTTATTACCAATTTTGTTTTATAAGTGTTAAAAAGACACCTATTGGAAACAACAGGAACTTCTGTCATAAGTTAAAAAAACCAAAATAATTATTACCAACATCCCCAACAGGCAATAAAACTCAATCCCCAACAAAACTCCCACCCTCATACACAAACTGACTCCATCACACCCCTTTTTCTGCTGAAGCCTGGATAAAGAAATGCACCTTTCTCCATGCCCCCAAGTTTAGCAGCTCTGGGCTATTTCAGCTAATGCACAGAGCGGATCCAAAGCTGTGGATCATTCATGAAGAACCCCTCTGCTCCCAGCCTTTTTCCCTTTGAAAGCAGGTGCCTCCATCAATCACAGCTGTGGGAGCGTGGTACTGAGAGAGGGGCACTCTTCCTAGTAGGAAGATCCCAAGCCACTGATTCTGTTTTATCTCATGCTGTTGGGTGACTGTATTTCCTTATGCTTGAATACTGGACACCTGGTAAAATTATTCATATTCAAGTGTGTTCAATGGCAATTGATCATCCAAACATTCAGATTAACATTTAAAAAAAAACCTGTGTGGTTAGATTCTTTTTATTTATCTTCGTATCTTTAAGGCTTTTGGGTTCACATAAGGAGGAGTGACACACCCAGGGAGGGATAACACACACACACGCTTCCATACATCTCTCTCTCAGGTAGGGGGTGACCAACCTACCTGACTTTCCCTGCCTGGTGCTCTCCAGCTACTATACCTGTCTGGGTCTCATGGATGGACCCACCTCTACTCGAAACTGACACCACATCTTCCCAAGGCAACAGAAAGGAAAGCAGTAGGGTCACATTCCCTTCCTCCCCCACACTTTGGCCAGGATCCACACTAGAATGTAGCTGACCACAGCCTCTCAGCACTGTGTGGGAAGGAAGGGACAGAACAGCTTCCAGCTATAATGAAGGAGACAGGGGAGGGATGACCTGGCCTGTATCTTTACAGAGCTCATCTCTTCTCCCCGCCCCAAACACCAACTACTCCCATGTAGCTGGAAGCAGCTTGTCCCTTCCTGCTTGCTCAGTGTGAAAAGACAGCTAACACCTTCAGTTGATGCTGGCCACTGACAAACCCAGCCACCACTTGTCACCCTGCTGCCCTGCTATAGCATGGGCAGGAAGGGGTTAAGCCCTAAGTATGCCTAGTTCACCAAGGCCCGGGAACCCAGAGAAGTTGCTCAATAGAGGAGGGAGCAGCCCATGTTCCTTTGAGGACATGGCCCGGGTGGGGTGGGGTGGAGTGAAGCATGTGCTAAGGCCCAGCCTATGGGGCTGCTGTGGAGCATGTAGGTTCAAGGCATGAACAGACTGAAAATTGCTTCCCCAACCCTCACCACTCTAGAGCTGAGCTGGGGGCAAGGAAGCAGAGAGGCTTCCTGATGTCAGCGCTTTGTGGGACGTTGACACGTGCAGGGCTCAACTCTTTGTGGCAGTGTCCCAGGCCAGAGGGTGCTGGGCTTTCCTGGACACTGGCTCATCCAGCAGCAGTGGGGAAGGAAGGAGCCTGCTGGCCAAGGTGCTGATGGGTTCAGTGCTCCAACCAAGGGCTGGTTCCTGCACAGGGTTGCAACTGGGACATGCCCTGATGTGGGATTGGGGTGATATGGAGGAGCAGTGGGACAAGGTGCAGGTAAAGGGGCAAGGCAGGGAGAGGACTGCAAGAGGGGAAGCATGTAATGGTCTGATGGGTGGAGAGCAGCAAGGACACGTAACCAGCCACTGCCCAGTGCTTGCCTGCACTCACTAACCACTGCAGCTCACAGCAATGCTGCCTGGAAATGGGATAGGGGACGGGGTGCCACTGGCTGGGCTGATTGACTAGCTGGGGGAGTGACGAGCCCCGTACACTGCATCTTTACCCCTTCGCCAACTGTGCACACCCACCCCCATCATCAGCCACTGGACGTCCCCATGCATATGCACTGTTGGTAGACAGGCAACAGGCGAGCAGGTATCTGGCCAGAAGTGGGTCTGATGGGGGTGGGGACAGAAAATATGGGACAATTTTCCCATTTTTTACAAAAAGTCAGGACACCTGCAAGAGGGCTTAAACATGGGACATAAAAACAGGTCATCTGGTCATCTGGTACCCAAACCCAGCTGGTAAGACTGGAGGCATCATTTCTCTTGAAAATTTCCAACAAAAACAAAAGAATAAATTAATACATTCTCTATAGGGCATTGCTCAGAATCATATCAAAATGTAGCTTATATAGATGTAGATCCAATTCCTGCCTGGGGTGTGGCTCAAACAGGCCCCAGCTCTGTGCAGAAGCCTACTGACAGCACAAGCAGGACACATCTCATGTACAGAATTGACTTCAGCTGAACTTTGCCCCCCGGGGCAGCAGGGAAGCAATCATGTTTAATGTGTGCACAAGCTTCAGCACATTCCTCTTTAAAAATATATATATAGTTTTGTCCGGGGAGAGCTAACTATTCTCCTGGCTTTCAGGGCCAGGGCTTATGACAGGTCAAAGAGAGAGAAAACCTAGTCTAAATTTTTAGGCCTTAAAAGAAGTTTTCTGATCTGAATGATAGTGTTTGCATTTTTATTTGACACAGATGTAAAGAATTAGAAGAGAAACTAAAAAAGCAAGAACCCAGGCCAGAAGATATGCACCTTATAGGCTGCTTGCAAAACAAATTAAGTGAGAGAGAAGAGATTATCAGACAGCTGACGGTGAGCATTCATTTGTGAATACGTACTGTACAATGTGTGTGCGAGCACTGAAGTCAAATCTTCCATTGACTGCTATGGTACAGTATGACTCCAACTGGTGTACCAGCATTGTATTAATGATACAATTAGGATGTCATCCCATACACCAGGGGTGGGCAATCATATTTTAATGGAAACTACTTCAAAAATGTTTGCAGTGGGTGCAGGCTGCCTCAGAAGGGGTGGAGCCTCAGGCGGAAGGGGCACAGCCTTTAAATAGCAGGAGTTGAAAGGGCTCACACCTCCCCTGAGGAACAGGAGCTGTGAGCCCTTTTGATTCCTGCTATTTAAAGGGCTCGCTGTTCCCAGCCTCGCTGTTAGTGCATTGCCTGGGAGCCCTTTCAACGGCTTCTATCTAAAGGATGCACGCCTTCCCTGGGGCTGTTACCTGATAGCTGCAGAGAAAGCAGACGTCCTTTAAATAGAAGCAATTGAAAGGGTTTGAGAGTCCCTGGCTCCCAGGCAATGGGCTAGCATGAGGCCAGGAGCCGCGAACCCTTTCATTTGCTTCTGTTAGAAGGGCTTGTGTCTGTCAGATGGCTGCTAGGCAACATTGCCTGACAGGCACGGGAAAGGTGTGAGCCCTTTAAATAGAAGCTTAGGGGGCGGGGCGTGAAACTGCCATGCAGGCAGAATCAAAGTCTTAGGCGGGCTGGATCCAGCCAACTGAGAGGCTTTTGTCCACCACTGCCATACAGTACTCTGAGTGCCCTTTTACCCTTGCCATAGCAGCTTTACAGCGGAACAAAGCCACTTATTCCACTTGCCAAGACTAAGACATACATTAGTAGTAATATGAAGGGGGAAAAAATCTCTGTTTCATCTCCTAAATGTAAACCTGCATGTGGCTAATGCGACAGTGAACCTGCTTATATGTATTGCAATAAGCCTTTCGGTCTTTTACTAGAGCAATTGTCAAGGCCCAGTGCTTAGGTCCAGTTCATAATTATGAAAGGTCCTATCCACTAGTAATTTCATCCAACTCTTCACATTTTTGCTCTGGGCCATTCTGAACTCAGTACACTTACATATCAAGGGCATACATGGTTTTATTTCACTTTAAGGAGGGAAGAAAATTTCAGCATTTGCTGTTATCCAGCACTGAATCTCATCGGAATAGATCCTTTTCTTTCAACCCTACTCCTGGATGCTTAACTCCTTCCACCAAGGTAAGACAAACCATTCAACTACAATAGTAAATCTTGTTGTGATAGAATATGAACAGATATAGGTGCTCAGATTCCATGGGAGGAACATACGAGTAGCTGAACAGAGATTTTTCAATACTTCAGTAATATTTCAGTGATGAGACTGCTGCTTTACTGTAGAAGAAGTATAATGCTTCCTCAGGTGAGCTAACCTAGAACCTGGTGATGATAATACAGTACCTACTATACTGGCATAGCAGGAAAAAGGGGCATGTTGGTGGAGGAGAAAGGGTGGCCTAGTGGCTAAAGACACTAATGCCACGTTTTCAACCCCGATGGTTGGTGAGGCAGCTCCTGTAGCTTTAGAGCAGGAGTGACTGCACATTTGGAGCAGTATAGCCAATACCAAAGGAATGCCACCAGTTGCTGTAAGACTGTGTGCATAACATACATTTATTTTCTCACAATAAAAGCAGAAGAAACTAAATGAGGTGCCAAGCCGTGTTGTCAGTGTTCCGAATTTAGCCTCCTATGCGAAGAACTTCTTGAGCTGTGACTTGAGATCAAAGAGAACAGCGCCTCCAATAACAAAATCTACAAGTTTAGACCAGAGTGCGGGCTCCATCAGGGCCAGCTATCAATCAGCGCAATCTTCAGACAGTAGCTATGCTGCAAGGTAATTGTATAATTTGTAGAAACTTGATTATGAATTAATATTTAACTTTTATCAAGCACCCAGATAGTGCTAAGTTCCTCATGGAAAAAAAAGCCAGAGGCCCTGATGCTGCAGTGAGCTCCATCCAGTCTGTGGAACCCTCTAGTCTACACACACATACACTCACAGCTCATGGCACAATCGGGATCATTCTTCCTGCCTGGAAAAGCCTGCAACTGAAATTCCTCATGTTCAAGTCATACAGTTGAAGCTTGCATCTTCCATCCATTCCATGGGTCTAGTAGTTCAAGTATTTTTGGTTAGCGCCACAAGAACTTGAGCAACAAAGTTGTTCTTCCAAAAATAAAGCAGATAGGACTGTCAATTAATCATAGTTAACTCAGGTGATTAACTCAAAAGAAATAATCATAATTAATTGAAGTTTTAATAGCACTGTTAAACAATAGAATACAAATTGAAATTATTAAATATTTTGGATGGTTTTCTACATTTTCAAATATTGATTTCAAGTTACAACACAGAACACAAAGTGTACAATGCTCATGGTAAATGATAAAAGAAATTGTATTTTTTTTTTCAATTCACCTCATAGAAGTACTGTAGTGCAATCTCTTTATTGTGAAAGTGTAACTTACAAATGTATATTTTTTATTGGTAGATTTTTGTTGTTGTTGTAGAACTGCATTCAAAAATAAAACAATGCAAAATTTTAGAGCCTATAAGTCCTCTCAGTCCTGCTTCTTATTCTGCTAATCGCTAAGATAAGCAAGTTTGTTTACATTTACAAGAGATAATGCTGCCTGCTTCTTACTTACAGTGTCACTTGAAAGTGAGAACATGATGATGATGGGTGATCACTCATTGTCAAGTATGACCATCTTCCGTGGGAATTGTGGACTTTCAGGTGGCTAAGGCCAATTCTTGAACCAAAATCCCAATGAGGAAAGATGTTTCCAGACACAGCAGGAGGCTGTTGACCATGACTAGAAGCTAGTCTCCCCTTTCTCCTCGCCTAATTTCCTCAACTTGTTGGCAGGCAAATTCAAAACGCAGGGGGCCATCGCATAGGACTTCTCTCAATTTTGAGCAATCCTGGGCTAGTGTCTCCCAAATGTCTGCATCAATGTTGCACTTCTTTAAGTTATTCTTTAGTAAGTCCTTAGAATACTCCCACATTAGGGAACCCTCTTTCACCTGATGGCAGCTCTAAAGGGTGCCACACGGCCCCTGGCGTGCAGCGCTTGATGGCAGCTCTAAGGGGCACAGCGCGCCAGGGGGCGCAGCCACGCATGCGCTGTGCGCCTGGGGGCGGAGCCGCGCATTCGTGGGGAGTAGGAATGGTATTAGTGCCCTGGTATTAGTGAAAGCCCTGGTATTAGTGCTTCTGTCTTCCCATCAAGATATTTCAGAGGCAGCATTGGTGATACCACTCAAGGACTTTCAAGTGATGTCTGTAGGTTATCCAGGTTTCAGACCTATACAGTAGTGTTGACAGAAAGTGAGAACAGGCATGTACATGGCAGTTTTTTAGCCAGCAATGCTAAATATTTACATACCAGGTGTGTTAAACATTTGTATGCCCCTTTGTGCTTTGGCCACCTGTCAGGGGTCGGGCTCCCCCTCAGGCTTACAGCCCTATCATCATCGGGGTTGCCTTCCCCCAACCAACCCGATAACACCCGCGTGTTCCTAGGACTCTGTGCTCCCACCACCATCAGTCAAGGCACAGATGGACCCATGGACGCCCGTGAGGGTTCCAACCACTCTCACAGGGCTTGGGGCCAGCGCCCCACTGCCAAACACCGAGAGTCCTTCCTGGGGTACCTCCAACTGCGGGGCTTCTCCCTCGCCACTCACCCGTTCGGCCCTTGCTTCCCGTGCTCCCTCTCTGTCCTCCACTGCGGTGAGGATGGATCCCTGCCGCCCCCACGAGCGGGCGGAGTGCGGAGAGGTGTGGTCTCCACATTCGTGGAGCCCCACACCCCGTCACACATCCCCTCCTTTAAGTCACTTACAGTCCCGCCGCTCAGCCCATCTTCTTCCATCACCCTGGAAAAGAAGTCAGCATTTCCGTGCCTCAATCCCGGCCGATGTTGTATTTCAAATGTATATGGTTGTAGGGCGAGGTACCAGCACATAACCCGGGGGTTGGTTTCCTTCATTGCCTGGATCCACCGTAAAGGGGCATGGTCAGTCACCAATTTGAATGGGTTCCTGAGCAGATAATATTGTAAAGTCTTCACCGCCCATTTTGCAGCCAGGGCTTCTTTCTCAATTGTGGCATACCTTTGCTCACGAGGGAATAACTTGCAACTCAGGTATACTACTGGGTGTTCTTGTCCCCCTACCTGTTGAGTCAGCACTGCTCCGAGGCCCACGGCAGATGTGTCGGTCTGCAAGGTAAATTCTTTTGAGAAGTCCAGTTGTACTAGGACCAGAGCCCACATTAAAGCGGTCTTTATTCGCTGGAATGCCTGCGCGCACCGTTCCGTCCACACTATTTGCTTCAGGCTGTTCTTCTTGGTGAGATCTGTCAATGGAGCGGCCTCTGACGTGAAGCTCGGAATAAACCGCCAGTAGTATCCCGCTAGGCCCAGGAATTGCTGGACTTGCTTTGTCGTCCGGGGACGGCGATAGTCGGCTAGGGCTTGTACTTTACTGGCTAGGGGCCTCAATTGTCCCCTCACAACCGTGAACTCCAAATAGGTCACCTCTCGTTGACCTAGGTGGCATTTTTCTGGGTTCACCGTCAGCCCGGCATGCCGCAACGCCTCCAGGACCGCTCGCAGGCGTTGTAAGTGCTCTTTCCATGATTTGCTATACACTACTATATCATCTATATATGCAGCTGCGTACTGCTGGTGTCCCCTTAGCACGCGATCCATGAGTCTCTGGAAAGTAGCAGCTGCCCCGTGGAGCCCAAAGGGCATGGTTTTAAAATGGTAGAGGCCGAAAGGGGTGGAGAAGGCGGTCCTCTCTCGGGAGGCGGGTGTTAGCGGGATTTGCCAATATCCCTTTGTGAGATCTAGCATGGAAATGTACTGGGCTTGGCCTAGCCGTTCTAAGAGTTCATCCACCCGGGGCATGGGGTAGGCATCAAACCGAGAAATCGCATTAACCTTTCAGAAGTCGAAAGCGTATGGTCTTGTCAGGTTTCGGGACCAGCACGATGGCACTGTGCCACTCACTATGCGATTCTTCTATCACTCCTAGTTGCAGTATCTTCTGCACCTCCTCCCACACCGTCCCCCACATTTTTCTAGGAAGGGGGTGCACGGGCTCCCTCACCCTACACCCGGGTTCGATGGCTACATGGTGGCTGATCAGGCTGGTACGCCCTGGCACGGGGATAACTACTGCCTGGAACTCCTGGACTAGGTCCCACATCTCCTGTTTCTGTGCTGCTGTCAAATCTGAGCCTATGTCTACGCTGTGGGTTATCTCCAGATCTCTGGCCTATGGCCCCAACTCTGTGGGCCGAGGCTGGGGATCTACAAAGAGACCCTCTCGCGGGTTCCATTTCTTTAGCAAGTTGACATGGTAGACCTGCGTGCCCTTCCGCTTCCCCACCAAGCGTACCTCATAGTCACCTGCCCCTACTTTACGGACAATTTCGAAAAGCCCCTGCCATTTCGCCAGTAGCTTAGATTTGCATGAGGGAAGCAGGAGAAGGACCCTATCCCCCGGCTTAAACTCCCGGACCCGCACGTCCCGGTTGTAGTAAAAGGTCTGCTTGTCTTGTGCCTGCATTAAGTTAACTTTTGCAAACTCCCCCAGCTGCCGCAGTCTTTCCCTTAAGTGAAGGATGTAGGAAACCGTTCCCTGGACTCAGGTTTCCTGGTCCTCCAGGTTTCCCTTAACAGGTCTACGATCCCCCGGGGCTGTCATCCATAGAGGAGCTCGAATGGGGAGTACCCGGTCGAGGCCTGGGGGACTTCGCAGATGGCAAACAACAGGGCTGGCAGCAATTTATCCCACTTGTGCGGGTCACTCGCTGTGAACTGGCAGAGCATTGCTTTTAGCGTGCGATTAAAACGCTCCACCAACCCGTCAGTCTGTGGGTGGTACGGTGAGGTGCGAAATGTTTTAATCTGTAGTAGGTGGCATAGTTCCACCATGAGCTTAGAAGAGACATTCGTCCCTTGGTCCGTTAATATTTCCCGGGGTATCCCCACCGGAGAAAAGATCTTCATTAATTCTCCTGTGAGGGTCTGTGACGTGGTGTTTTTCAGGGGCACCGCCTCCGGGTATCGGGTGGCATAGTCTATTAAGACTAACATATGTTGGTGCCCGGCTTTTGACCACTTGACTGGTCCAACGAGGTCAAACACTACCCGGTCAAAAGGCACCCCTATCACCGGGAGGGGAACCAAGGAGGCCTTAGTTATCTCCCGTGGTCGGGTTAACAGGCACTCGGGGCAGGAGTTACAAAAATCTCTCACCTGCTTATGGATCCCAGGCCAAACAAATCTTTGGGTTATGTGCTGCAGAGTTTTTTCCCTTCCGAGATGACCTGCCCATGGGTTCGAGTGAGCCAGATCCAATACATTCCGGCGTCGCCCGGCCAGTACTAACAACTGCCAGAGGATCCCCCTGCCCTCCGCGGACGTTGTCACCCAGTAGAGACGGTCCCCACGTACCTCAAAAAAGGGCCCTTGTCTTAGCCTCGCATCCTCATCCCCGACGTTGGTCGTCTCGCCCACTTGTTCCCAGGCCCATTGTAGGGACGGGTCGTCCTGCTGCTCCTGGATGAAGTCTCCTTTGGTGTCACCGTCCCTGGTCTGGCTCCAGTCCTGAGAAGCAGCCGGGTCCCTCCCTGCGTCTCCCGCGTGCTTGGGGCTCCTTTCTCGGGCCTGCCTGACCTGTTGGGCTGCTAGTGCGCTCTCTGGTTGGCCAATCTCTGGCTTGCCGGCTGGCTGAGGGGTCCACCCTTCTATTAGTCGCTGGAAGCCCGGCCAGTCTCGTCCCAGGAGCACTGGGTATTCTAAATTTTCAGCTACCGCCACCTTACATGTCATCTCCTCCTGTCCATCAGATAATTTCACCCATACTGTGGGGTAGGGCTTCACGTCCCTGTGAATGCACTTCAGCCATATGGGGGTCCCGGGGACCCCTGAGTGTGGGACCAAGGAGGCCCGGGCCATGGTTTTGCCGCAGCCACTATCAACTAGGGCCCAAACCTCCCACCCTTCTACCTTCAGTTGGGCCAGTACTTTCTTATTTTCAGTCGCGGTGGAAATGGCCTTCTTGGCCACACTCATAACATGCCCCCTGGCTGCCCGTCCCAGACCCCGCAGGGCGTATGGGCTCCTTCTCTCTCGAGGCCTTGTCTCCCTGCACTCCTTCCCCGGGGAGACTATCTAGGTTGGTAGGTCTATAGTCAGGGAGCCCCCTTTCCTGTCCTCCATAGGTCCGCCCCCGGCCGCCGCGGGGAGTCTGGGCCCGGACCACCGGGGGGCGTTGCCCTCGCCCCTCCCCTGGGGTCACCGCGGTCTTCCCTGAACCCTCCGCAGCCATATAGGCTTCCATAAAAGCGACCGCATCTGCTATAGTCGTGGGTTGCTGCCACCTTACCCACTTGCGGGCATCCGTCGACAGAATCTGTAAGAATTGTTCCAATACAATAACATCGACTAGCTGACCGCTAGTCCGTTTTTTGGGCTCTAGCCATCTCCAGCATGCTTCCCACAACCTTTGGGTGACCACCCTAGGGCGCACCCTGGTTGGGTACCGTTCTTGGCGAAATCTTTGCCTAAATGTCTCGGGGTTCAACCCAATTTGGTCTAGGATTGCCTCTTTTACCTTATAGTAATTGAGGGCTTCTTGCGGATCTAGTCTCCTATATGCTAATTGGGCCGGCCCTGACAAATAGGGAGCCAACAGGGTGGCCCAATGGTCTCCTGGCCAACGGGCAGCCATGGCAACCCTTTCGAACGTCTCAAGGAAGGCCTCCGGGTCGTCTTGGGACCCCATTTTGGTTAGGCGGATGGGGTAACTGAGGCACTTCGGCTGTGCCCGTCAGCCCACGGAGTTGCCCTGGCCAATACGGCCCCTTGTTGGAGCCACATCTTTCTCTGCGCTTGTTGTTGATCAGTCAGTTCTCTAACGAGCTGCCTTTGCTGCTCCTGCTGCTGTGCCACCAACTGCTGCAGGAGTTGAGTCTGCTGTTGTTGTTGCTAGCACTGATGCTTCACCAGCCACTGCCAGACTTCCTTCATCTCCATTTCCTCACCCCCTTCCCTTTCACCACGGTTTAGGACCAGGTGCCCACGTTCTCCACCATCTGTCAGGGGTTGGGCTCCCCCTCAGGCTTACAGCCCTATCATCATCGGGGTTGCCTTCCCCCAACCAACCCGATAACACCCGTGTTCCTAGGACTCTGTGCTCTCACCACCGTCAGTCAAGGCCCAGATGGACCTGTGGACACCCGTGAGGGTTCTGACCGCTCTCGCAGGGTTCGGGGCTGGCGTCCCACTGCCGAACACCGAGAGTCCTTCCCGGGGTGCCTCCAGCCGCGGGGCTTCCCCCTCGCCACTCACCCGTTTGGACCTTGCTTCCCGCGCTCCCCCTCCATCCTCCACTGCGGTGGGGATGGATCCCTGCTGCCCCCGCGAGCGGGCAGAGTGTGGGGAGGCGGGGTCTCCGCATCCGTGGAGCCCCGCGCCCCGTCACACCACCATTCCATGAGACATGCTTCCATGCTGATGACACTTGTTAAAAAAATGTGTTAATTAAATTTGTGACTCTATTGTTTATACATCTCTTGCTGTTTTATCTACATTGGCATATTTTTCATATAATAGCCGTCTTAGATGATGATTAGCACATCTTGTTTGTGTTTTGTCAGATCTGCAGGGAAAGTGCTCTTAAAAGAAAGAAGGTACCAATGTGAAATTTCCAAAGATAGCTACAGCATTTGACCCAAGGTTTAAGGATCTGACATGCCTTCCAAAATCTGAGGATGAGGCATGTAGCATACGTTCATAAGTCTTAAAAGAGCAATGCTCCAATGCAGAAACTATAGCACGTGAACCACCAAGAAAAGAAAATCAGCCTTCTGCTGGAGGCATCTGATCTGACTCATATGAAGAAAATGAACTACTGCACTACTTTGGATTGTTATTGAGCAGAACCTGTTATCAGCATGGATAACTACAACAGTGCCATGCAAATGCCTCTTCTCACTTTAAGGTGACATTGTAAAAAAGAAGCCAGCAGCATGGTCTCCTGCAAATACAAACAAATTTGTTTGATTGATGTGCTGAAATAAGACAAGTAGGATGGAGTAGACTTGTAGGCTCTAAAGTTTTACATTGTTCTATTTATGAAAGCAGATTCTTTTGTACATAATTCTACATTTTTAAGTTCCATTTTCATGATGAGATTGCATTACAGTACCTGTATTAGGTGAAGTGAAATAAAATGCCTTTTTTTACAGTGCATACATTTGTAATAAAAATATAAAATGAGTACTGTACACTTTGTATTGTGTTGTAACTGAAATCAATATATTTGAAAACATCCAAAAAAATATAATGGAATTCTACAGGTTGCACCTCTATAAACTGGATCTCTCTGGTTCGGCAACATCTCTGGTCCTGCCAGACCACAGATGTTCCAGGATCAGAGTGTCCTGGCATGCTGTTGATAGTGGAGGGGCCAGGAGCCTGGTCTGCAGTGCAGTTGGGCTGCAGCTTAGCTGGGCTGTGGAGGCAGGGAGAACTGGGAAGGCTGGTGCGTGGTGCAGCTGGACTGCAGAGTGGGAAGCCTAGAACATGTGACCCAGATGGACTGCCTGGGGAAACCAGGTGCATAGTTCAGTTGGGCTGTGGGGCAGAAGGGAAGGCAAGCTGGGCTGGGGAGGGTTAGGGGGGCAAGAAGCCCGGCACATGACCCAGCTGAGCTGTTCAGGGAGCTGGAAATGCCAGTAGAGCAGCAGGGCAGGGTGTGGAACTGGCAGCAGAGGGGCCAGAAATGACCTCCCCGGTCTGACAAAATCCCTTATCTGGGACCAGTCAGGTCCCATGGGTGCTGGAACCAGGAAGGTCCAACTTGTATTAACAGCACAAGTCATTTTTTAATTGGGCAGTCAATCATAATCAATTGTTAATCTCTGGATAGCCTTTAAATAAATAAATGATTTCTGAGATTTAACAAACACTCAAGTAATATTATTTGTGTCTCTGTGCAGAATACAAGACAATGAAGTACCCCAAACCAAAGATGGCCAGAAACAAGACCCCCGGCATCAGGAATGGTTTACTAAATACTTTTCATTCTAAACTCAATTATTTCCAAAGTACTGAGAAAGATAACTTCCCTTAATTTCACACTCATGTGAAATGTTTAATCATTGGGGAAAAAAAGTTTGAGTTGCACACAGCTTAATAGGAATCTTAGTGTTCTTGGCAACCAGCTACTATGGGATTCAAGAGTGGGTGCCTTAGAAATATGATTATAAATAACCATTGCAAACATGAAGGCAGGTTAGGTGAAAAATGATGGGTATATTGTCATCCCAATAGCCTGGTGTTGCAGAGAAATAATCCTTGATATCAAGACAAACTGTTCTACAGTTGTACAGGCAGAGTGCTGAATTTGTTCCCCAGGGACTCCTGTCCCTGTCTGGCTTTCTCTTACAAAAATACCTTAACTTTATTTTGTGCATGTTTTAGGATATAAACCCATGTATGATTATTTATTGCATCCCATGCGCTCTCATTTTATTATTTAATAGTCAAAATAAATGGGGGGAAATTACTTGTAATGGGTGTTTGATTAATCTGATAGTTTGTTTCACATTTGTTATTTAGGGTGCAGCATTTTGACAGACTATACCGTTGGGTGCTTTTAGAATTATTAATATAACTAGATTTACCTGGCTTTGCTCGGGTGTTTAACTCTAAGTTTTTACTTAAATAATTGTTTTGAAGTGGGCCTGGGAATGAGGGGTTTAGTATGCAGACTGGCCTGGGGAGAGGGAACAATCCCAACCCTCTCGCACTTCAGCAGTTTAGGGCCAGGTGAGAAGTGCCCATGGCCACTGCAGCAGGCACAGCTGGAAAAGGCGTGTGTGGGTGTAGCTCAGCTGGGGGACAGAAACACACAGACTGTCTGAAGTATATAGTAGCTAGCTGTCCCTTTCTCCACCTGTCCCTTGCTTGCCCAATGGGGTTGCAGCTATCCCGGTCCCCATCTCTGGACCCTTGCTGCCTCTATGTAGTCATTCTACAGCGTAATGCCTCCCTTTCATAAGAAATAATCAAATCCCAGGCATATCCCAGTGTCTTGGCAAAACCAAATCCTTACCTTGCTTTAAGTTATGATAAGAGGATGCTGCATACCAAATTTGATAGTCTAGCTCTTACTTTTTAGCAGTTCTTGAACAAACTGACTCACGGATGGACAGATACACATTTTAAAAATGTGTAAGATTAGAATGGGGTATTATTGCATCTGCAATTGTATAGGCAGCTGATTACAAGATACTATTCTCATTAAACATATTTAAGGATCAGTCTGAGAAATTCATGATAAAATTCAACTATGAACATTAATAAAATTTGCTTACAGATCAAATTCATGTTTTACACTTCAATTCATTATGCAGAATTTTGAACCAGAGTCTGTACAATTCATAAAGTTTCAAGTTTATGAAAGATGGATATTTAGTACATACCATCCATGTGTATCTTCAGTATTCCTACTGTGGGTATCTAAGCACTAAGTACATCAAACCATTGAAATAACCAAATTATTTACATCTTGTTCAGACACTGCTCATCATTCAGACATACTTTAAAAAGTGTGCATCTTAAACTAAATTGCCTACCTGAAGCTGGCTTAGCTGCATCCCACCCTGACATTGGACAACAAGGAGTTGCACATCTGAGCCTACTATTGAAACACCTGTAACTTTCAGACCCCTTTGCCAGGTCTTAGCCTCCTCAGGTAACCAGACCAATGCTAGGTGACTTGTGTGGGTGATTTTTCCCTTGACAAACAAGATCAGAGCAGAAGCCAGTTTTTTCTCTACAGTGCTTTTTTCAATAGGGACCATGAAGGTTTAACAATCCCATGTTAGGCGTTTGCCACTAACCCACTAGAACTGCAGTCCAAGACAGCAATACAAGAACAAGAGACAAAATGGAGCTTGCAGCTTAGTAGAGAGAGCATTCAGTCTTACACAGAATGTGAAAGTTGTACAGATATTCTCTAAACTGCCAGAACTGCATCATAATATGTCATCATACATCATTCCAGTGAGCACAAGCTACTCCATGATATGTTTAAAAGTCCAAGAGGGATAGCCATATTAGTCTGTAACTTTAAAAACAATGAGTAGTCCCGTAGCACCTGAAAGACTAACAAAAATATATATAGTATCATGAGCTTTTCTGGGAAAAATCCACTTCTTCAGATGATTATTGTATGGCGTGTGAAAATATGTAGCAGTCTCCTACATGAAAATAAGCTTCAGGCTACTGTTCAAGTCAAGCAGATGGCTTCCTTGAGTCAACAATTTAAAGAGCGGCTTTGAGAGAACGTAACTCCCAACTTCTGGAGTTAAATATCTCCTGTGTTGAAGCTTCTCTCCACTGATGGCAGAGTGAAAACAATTTAAATCTACCCTCTAAAGGGATTTTAATTTATACTTTTTTTCCTGCAGTAATACTTTGAGTAAATTGGCAAGCACAGAGCAGACAAGCTTTCTGGTTCCCTCACTTACAATATCTCAGCTAATTAGCCACATGGTACACAATCAGGCAGTACTTTCTCCACTCTATTTGCACTCCAGGTGCAGCAGCCTGAAACTGGCAACACTCAATTTCTAGCGATTCAGCTTAATCTGCTTTAATGAGGAAAGCCAACAACTTTCTTCTAAGTTGCCAAACCCTTAAGCTGAGTGGATATCATTTCAGGAGGAAAGGGGGGGGATCATAAGTTTGTAGAAACAGAGCATGGAAAGGGTAGGAAATTACAATCATTTTGCTTTGATGGAGGATGACTAGAAAATATTAAATAATATCTCCATCCTGTTCCTACAAAAAGTTACCCTACAAGATTTTAAAAGCATCACATGCCAGAGCAATTTACCATTGGCACCAACATCCTGTCAGCTCTTGTCTACACTAGGAAAAAGATGCATTTTTGATATACATCTTCTCGCCTCCCATTGGCTACATCTACACTGGCATGATTTTGTGCAAGAACTCTTTTGCAGAAGAGTTCTTGTGCAAAAACTCTTCCAGAAGAGAGCATCTACACTGGCATGTGCCTTTGCACACGAGCATCCTTGCCATTATAGACGCTCTCTTGCACAAGAAAGCTCTGATGGCCATTTTAACCATAGGGTTTTCTTGTGCAAGAAATTCACGTTGCCTATCTACATTGGCCTCTTGTGCAAGAACAGGTGCACAAAAGGGCTTATTCCTGAGTTGGAGCATCATAGTTATTGCACAAGCAGCACTAATTTCATACAGTAGAACGTCAGTGTTCTTGCGCAAGAACTCGCGGCCAGTGTAGACAGGCAGCAAGTTTTGGCGCAAAAGCAGTTGCTTTTGCGCAAGATCACACCAATGTAGACACAGCCGCTAAGTGAAAGCAAGTGCTTATGTCACAGACAGCAGTAGTGCTCAAGAGAAAATCCTTACTTTGATTTATTTGACCAATCAATATCAGCAATAAGCCTACATTATGTCACCAAAATCAGAGGATGTGACATGATTAGAAACAGTCCCAGTGAAACTGTATACAAAAATACACTGAGATGAAAAACTCTGCAAGTACTTCTACATCTATAGTACCTTAACTTGATTTCAGTTACATTTTAGGACTGCTTTGCCAGTTCCATAAGTAATAGGACAGGACTTTATATTATAGTTGCAGTACAAGTGCATAGAATATACTATAGATATCTATACACACTTAACACATACCTGGAACACTTGTTTGAATGTAAAACCAATCCATACTTTTATCAAAGTTAAAACTATAGATTTGTCCCCATTTAGTTTGTTTGTCCCACTGTCATGTAGTAAAACACTTTATTTGTATATTACAATTCATTATACAAGGTAGAAAGACCACTGCTCTATTTCACTTTAAGTTAAAATACTTAAAGATCTAAATGTACATGTCCATCTAAATCATGTTTGCTTCATGGGTGCAGGAATATTAGCAGAAGCCTGTTCAAGATAAGCTAATGGTCCCTGTGGCATTTCTGCTGGTTTTTTGTGTTGCACATTCATGTCTTCTAGAACTTGCTGCCAGTGACGCAGTTTACCCAAGTGCTTCTGAATTAGTGCTTCTTTCCTCTGTAATTCATTTTTCAATTCTGAAACATCCTGCAGTTGAGAAATCTTGAATTAGTAAATAACTTATTTTCATTGTAATAAGATTATATAACCTAATTTTAACTATTACAGTTCCTACAAAACAATGAACAATTCTCCAAGTGAAAACAACTTAACTCTGAGGGCTTGTCTACACTTACCAGAGGATCAATGCTCTGGTGATCAATCTTCTGGAGTTCAATTTAGCGGGTCTAGTAAAGACCCACTAAATTGAAGGGTGAGAATGCCCCCATCAACTGAAGTACTTCTTCCAGTTGTGAGGACTAAGGGAGATCTACAGGAAAGTTTCTCCTGTTGATCGCCTGCTGTGGGGCCATCCTAGAAAACTGACATAAGGTACGTCAACTCCAGCTACACAGTTGTCATAGCTGGAACTGTGTATCTTACAATGATTTTCTCTGCCAGTGTAGACCTGGCCTGAGAAGTGGCTGAACTAAAGATGAAGTAATTTGGCTACTCCCTTCCCTTTGTGTGTAGAATACATTTTGATATGCACACCAAGACATGTACAGAAGTGTACCACCAACAGTAACACATGCTGCCAGCTGTGGGCACTCTTGCTAATCGGTTGGGAGGCATTTGAATCTCCCCTGGATGGCCATCCAAGTGCACCACTGACAGGAAACACTGCTCCCTCCCATGATATACATCTAACTCGAGGAGTATAAATATGAGGCCTGGTAAATGCATGTAATCAAAAAGAAGTTTGTTTTCTGCACATTAAATTTGACTAAATGGTCTGTTCCCTTACAGAGGCATATCCCTCTGGCTGATTATCTCCTTTAATGCTTCAGAAAACAGACATCCAGATTATCTGACATGCTATAAAGAGCTACTGAGAGTCACCCAGGAGAGCTCTACCAAACTTATAGTGATGAGAAGATAAACTCAACCATTGTTTGTTCCGTACTTGTCTCGGATTCCCTGTACTATCATGCAACAAAAGAAACACCCTTAGTCTTCAGAGAAAGGAACAATTTAAAATTTCACAGGTAAAGAAGATAAAAAGATGGTAAATTCCTACCTCTTTAATAACTAGCTCTGGTTTCTGGACAGAAAGATGTAATCTTTTTTGTAGGAAGAAACATTCAGTTTGTCTCGCAACATCCAGAAATTTCTGGATACACTGATCAACACCTAAAATACAGAAATAAAACTAGATATAAAAGAAAAATCAAAGACCAGATTAGTTTAACAACCTCCATAGAAGAAAATTAATTAATGTACATTTTGCCTCTTTGCCCAAGTAGCCAGGTATTCAGTATTTAAAAACTAAGACACTTGAGACAGCAAATCCAAAACCTTGACGTCAACTTTTTTTTTTTTTTTTAAGTGTCCTGTAGTTATAAAATCTGAAGTTCTTATATAATGGAGAGTAAACTGACTGGGTATATTGACAGATTATCTCTCCGCAGACCTTTTACTTCAGCAAGTTCTAAAAGGCACTCCTCTTTTTGAACAGTAACCATGACAATCAGTATTCCATAAGATGTGGAAAAAAATGGTCACTTCCATTTTCACTGCAACAGATTAAAATTTCTCTAATGATAAAGGACCTCAAAAAACAAGTATACAACACAATATCACTAATTTGGGTCTTGAATGCAAATATGTGAAATAAGATTTCAATGTATTCCCGTGCAGCGATGAACAAAGCCCTACAGTAATGTTTAGATGAATTGTATTGAAAGTGGCATATTTATTAATGATGCTTACCAAATTTATTTTTCACTTCAAAAGCTATGAATGGGACACATCCAGCCCACTTCATTAGCCTCATTAACAGGTATGCTGACAGGTACTTCTTGTGCTGTTATATATTTTGGTTTCTGTTATTTCCACTCCAACTCATCTGATGAAGTGAGTTTTATTCTTATTTTTATCTCTAAGTTGCGACAGGACTACTCTTTAGGGATGTTAAAATGCAGAAAATTGACTAGTCGAGTAGCTGATAGAATTTCCATTGATATTTGACTAGTTAATAGGCACTTCCTCATTCCTTCTTTGAAATGTACAAGAACCCTCGCTGGGGCTCTTGTACATTTCGAAGGAGGAATGCAGAACTCCAGGTACAACCAGGTACAACCCCGCTGACTCCGGGCTGCACACAGGGGTCCCCAGTGGGGGCTCTTGTGCATTTCAAAGCCATGGAGCCCAGCGGTCAGCAGGGGACTCCCCAGCTGACCCCAGCTCCACTCAAATGCCACAGATGATCCCGTATTCTGGGGAAATGCTGCACAGAACCTGGAGTCATCTGGGGAGTCCCCAGCTGACCCCAGGCTCCACAGTGCTTAGGCGTTTTAAAGGGGCAGCACCGCACAGCTGAGCCGCGGACCAGCTATGCAGTGCTGCAGCTTTGAAGTACCCCTGTCCTCCTTTGCTGCCTCTATCTTATGGAGCATCCCTATAAACATCCCTACTACTTTTTGTTTTAAAAATGTATTTAGTTATCCAACAAGAGTTTTCTTTAGTCCAGCACAGTCCATAAATATAACTGGATATCTGAAAACAGAATGATGAGCTAGTTTTCAAAAACTCATAAGTCATTTTTGAAAATGGGAGTTCAGCTCTTAAATCACTGATTTTCAATTAAGACTTTTGCTCCTAAATTACTTCTGTAAATTTTACCCACAGCCTTTTTCTACTTCATATATAACCATAAACTACTATAAACAAATGAGATTCAAGAATTAGAGATTGGCTGCTAATGCTGCCATTGCATAAGTAGAACAGCATATAGAAATACTGTCAAGTGAGGCAAAACACTAGCTCTCATTTTCTCCCTATCTTTTTGCTAAGTCACTGCAATTCATGCTGTTCTTTAGTTTTACAAACCAAACACTCCTCTCTCATTGACAGCTAACTATAATACTAATGGAAAAATTCCACAAGGCCATGACTGTAATAGGACCTTTTTGAAAAATTCTTATAATTGTTAACACTAATTCAGCTCCATTGGGTTTAGCCACAATTGGATCTCTACCCCAACAAACACATGTGATGCCTTTAACAATCTGGGTCTAACTTGATCAGACAGATCTTAATAGGGTTAGCTGACAGAGTATTTAGAACAATGGTGGTACCTCCACTGTTGCTTCCCGATTAGCACAGACCAGTGAAGCTCAACAGTATCAACAGGGGTAATACTTTTCTTAGATTTCATAGTGCAGGTTGGCCCTACACATGTACAGATTCCTGAAAGTACGTGTCATAAATTAAAAGAGATGTAGTTTAAAAATGGTTACCAATCCCTTGACAACCACATGCTAGCCAGATCCAGACGCTGGCAGGCTCGCTTACCCGTTCGGATTTCCTCCTGATCCGTGCCATTCACGTAATCCTGACTCACAAGCGAGGCGAAGCAAGCCTAGAGCACCGGGGAAGCAGAGAGATTCCTGAAAGTACGTGTCATAAATTAAAAGAGATGTAGTTTAAAAATGGTTACCAATCCCTTGACAACCACATGCTAGCCAGATCCAGACGCTGGCAGGCTCGCTTACCCGTTCGGATTTCCTCCTGATCCGTGCCATTCACGTAATCCTGACTCACAAGCGAGGCGAAGCAAGCCTAGAGCACCGGGGAAGCAGAGGGACTTGTTACAAGGGAACGCAGGGCGCCCTGCGCACGTGCCACGGCAGCCCCCGCGGCGTCACC